GGGTTTGATACCCTAGGGCCACGCGGCGCCGCCCCAGTTTCCACGCGGCTGCCGACACTTTCTCGCCGCCTCCGCCGCTGCCACGTCCCGAATGAAGACTCCAGAAGATCAACACCAGCCGTCCATGCAATAGCTACGGGGTGAGTCACCACTGGTAGTCCGGTGACTCACCGAGAGCCCTTCTTCGGACCGGTTCGACGGCTACAACGGTGGTGGCTATAAAAGCCACCACCCCATCTGCAAGAAGAAAAAAAAAAGAGGAGAGACAGAAACCGAGACAGAACCGGAGAGAAAAAAAAAACAGAGAAAGAAAAAAAAACAACAACAACTAAACCAACGATCTCAGTCAGCATCAACGCAGCAAGGAAAAAAAGAGAGAAGAGAGGAAAAAGCTTACCCTGTCATCGGAGAGCCCCAACCGTCACCGGATCTCACCGGAACCTTCGAAACACCGAAGGTACTTTTGTAGATTCGCTCCGATTGGGAGTTTTTTAGGAGGAAACAATACCGGAACCGTCCTTAGGACGGTCCGATCTATCTATTAGTATAAAAAATAATTTTTCCGGCCACCGGATGTGGTGGCCGGCGGTGATAATCACGGCGGCACACGGTGGCCGACCGTTGACCGGCTTCCCTCCGGTGAGGGAAGCTAGAGAGAGGCGAGAGAGTTTTAAACTCTCTCGGTTTAGAGAGAGAGAGGGAAATGAGAAATGAAAGCTGGCCCTTCGGGCCAGCCGGGTTTGGACCATATATAGTCCTTCCCGAACGACGTCGTTTCGGGAAGGACTATACGCATAATTATAAAATAGTTAAATCCCGTCCGTAGTCCTCCCAACTTGTAAATTTTATATTTTGGTCACTAAACTGAATTTATAATAATTTTAATTCAGTCTTTGAATTTTAATTTTATTCATTTAGTCCTTTTATTAAAATAATATATTTAGGATAAATGATAGATTTAGTCCCTTAATTTTAATACATAATTTTTTTTAATCCCTAGTTCATATTTTTAATTTATTTTATTATAAAATTCGAATTTTAGATAATTTTATTTTGGTCACTAAATTATTAAATTAGAAATAAAATATTTAATACCTATAATTTCAATTAATTAGGAATTAGATTTAGTTTTATTTTATTATAATTTAGTTATTTATTTTATATGTTTTCATTTTACCGCTTAAAATATTGTTTTAGTGATTTTTTATTTTATTATATTGTTAAATATTTTTATATAGTCATAAATATACATATAATAAATAGTAATTTTTAAATATTTATTTTTAATATCAAAGAAAAGGACAGTCTTAATACAACTGGATGTCCTATTTTGATATTTTAAAATTAAAAATTAAACAATATTATTTAAATTAATATTTATCAATATCAAAGAAAAGAGCTGTCTTAAGGTAACTAGAAGTTCTTTTCAGATATTTTTAAATAAATAAATATTTTTATATAATTTTGAAATAATAAGATTAAAAATTAAATATATTTTTTGAATTTTTAATAATAGAGACAATTTATAATTAAAAAGTACCAATTTTGGGCGTTGTAGGGGTGCTAATCCTTCCCTAAACGTAACCGACCACGAATCCCTTTTTACTAAAAAGAACGAATTTTTGGTTATAAAACGCAGATCAGTTCATTTTTTTTTGATGTTTTCTTAAAACTCTTTAAAAAAAATAATAATTTCTAGGTATTCGACCTACCTGATCCAAAAGGCCGATGGCGACTCTCAAATTATTTTCAAAATTATTTATTCACATCAATTTCCCTGCCAAATTTAATATTTCGTACCCGGACGAAAATCGGTTACGACAGATACATAGTGTTCAAGATCGATGAACAATCGAGGCTGGTGACCGTTGATAAGGTCGGCAGTTCCGGCGAAAGCTACGACGATTTTACTGCATCTTTGCCGACGGATGATTGCCGATATGCTGTGTTTGACTTCGATTTCGTCACTGTTGATAATTGCCGGAAAAGCAAGATCTTCTTCATTGCATGGTTCGTCGCCTTTTCTATACACTTCGTCTATGTTTATTCTCTTTCAATTTTTTCGTTAGTAGAACAAAGGTTGACTATTTTACCTTTTATAAAATGAGAACTTCATTATTTATACAAGGGTAACATGGAAATAATGCATACCAAAAAAAGGGTAAAATATGTAGTTAGTAAACTAATTATCATTTTGGTTACGATTTGGTCATTCAACTATTTTTTTTAAATTATCACGAACGTTATGTTTTGTTTCATTTTAATCGGTCACAGTTAAAAAAATTAACATAATTGATGTCATTATATATTTTTAATTTGTTCAATGATGATGTGAAATTACCTTATGATAATATGGCAGCATCACCGTTATTTTTTTAACGGCTAATGGTAAAAAATGAAACTAAAACATACCTTCTATATTCGGATAAAAACACCAAATTTACAATGGTGATTGATCACCGTTGACCAAGTCAATGCCCCGCCATTTTTAGTTTCTTTTACTAAACCAGGGGCAAATTTGCATGCCACCCACTGAATTGATGGTCCAAAGCCATTTAAATTAAAGATAATAAAAATGATGGGCATTTATTAATTTATTTAGGTCCCCAGATGCATCGAGAATAAGGGCAAAAATGCTGTACGCAACATCAAAAGATGGGCTGAGGAGAGTGCTTGATGGCATCCACTATGAGGTTCAAGCAACGGATCCCACTGAGATGGGGATGGATGTCATTAAACATAAAGCTTATTAGGAGAGTAATTATAATTGTATGAATTTATTGAATGGTCTTGGTGATTAAAACGAGTGATATTCTCTTTTAAAGTTTTGAGTTCGAGCGTTTACATCTGTGAGGTGTGCCCACGTTATCAATGATTAAAAAATATTATGAACAAATGCTATATTGTAATCACTCAGACTATAAAAAAAATGTAATCGTAGCCTGTATAAATCATGTTTACCTTCCTCTTACTTGCTTACTTTTTCATTTTAATCACTCCAACATGTGCTCTTCTCTTTTTATGATAGATTTTTAACAAATGTAATCTACTCCTCTATTTGTAATAATATTTTGATGTTCCATGTGTACTCATTCAAGGACAAAAGTAGCCATCACCTCCACTTTTTCCTTTTATTTAATTATTATTTTATATTTTTAAAATTATGTAAATTACTTGACTTGTATGTTGAATTTTAAGTACTTTTAATTTGAGCATGACACTTGTATTTTAATATGTGAATGAAAGTGATTTGAAGAGATTTTTTAAAAGATTTTTTGCATTGGATTGTAAATATCAAATTTCTTCTATTTAGTTACCAAGCTTGGAGGTTTAAGTAAAATTTATCTTTAATTTTGAGTTTGACACTTAAAGATTTTTTTATCAAATATTTTTAAATTGAATTGCCTCTAATATTATTATAAATTGATTTTTTTACCAAATATTTTTAAATTAGGTTGAGTTAGCTCTAATATTATAAAATTATAAAGATCGCTAACTTAAGTAGACTTGAACGAGCAATTAAAATTAATTAATAATTTTTTTTTCTAATTTGATCACAAAGTTGTAAACCTCTTGTAGCTTAGTTGATTAGAGCACTCATTTAGTAAGTGGGAGTTCTCGAGTTCAAGTCTCAACAAGAGCAAATTTGACCTATAGTATTTTTAAATTAAGTCGAGTCTAATTATTTAAACTTCTAAAGATTGTCATATTAAGTGGATTTGAACGAGTAATTAAAATTAATTAGCTATTTATTTTCCAATTTAATCGTAAAGTTGTAACATAAAGCTCTTGTAGCTCAGTTGGTTAGAGTACCCGTTTAGTAAGCGGGAGGTCTTGAGTTCAATTCTCAACAAGAGCAAAATTGATCTTAGAGAGTGTTTAAGATAAAGTGATCTTATAAGTATTTTCAATTCGAGAATAACATTTATATTTAATTGTGTAAATAAAAGTATCTTGAAGAGGTATTCTTTAAGATTATTTTTGTTTTCGTTCGTAAATATTAAATTTCTTTCTCTTATCTCACGTAAGATTTAAAATAAATCCATCTATAATTATGTGAATTTTGAACTTGACACGAGTAATTATATTTTTTTTCTATCAAATATTCTTAAATTGAGTTATATCTAATATTATTGTAAACTGATTTTTTATCTAATTTTTTTCGAATCAAATCGAATTAACTCTAATATTGTAAATTTCTTAAGATCTCTGTTTAAGCAGATTTGAATCTAAGTGTCCATAACTTAGTTTCCCAAGAAATCTAAATGTACCTAACGTTTATTAGGGGGAAAACCCAAAGATTAAGAGATGCATGCAACGTTCATTAGAAAAAAAAACAACCCCAAAGATTCGGGACAAAAACCACTTGTGGTGACCATTGAGTAAGTTTTTTAGACTTGAGATGAGTTAAAAGCACATAATGTATTTACGTATATTATTATTGTTAGGGTAAACTATATGTTTAGTACCTAAATTATCAATTTTATTTTGTTTTAGTATATAAACTTTCATTTGTTTTAAAAGCATACCTAACATTTATTTTTTGTTTCGTTTTGGTACATCGCCGTTAAAAACTTAGTGACACTATTATAACATGACACTTTTTTATTGGTAAATTACATCATTCATCACTCAACTAGCTTGTCACTCCTATTTTGGTCATTCAAATTTATTTATTTTAATTTAATTACTTAACTTGCAAATTACTTCAAATTTAATCACTCTATCTTTCAAATATATTTTTTATTTTAATTATTATTAATAAAATAATAATAAAAGTTTCATGTCAAAAAATTATTAATAAAATAAATTAGAGTGATTAAAATATGAGCAATTTGAAAGTTGAGTAGTTAAATTGAAAAGTTTTAAACTTTAGTGACCAAAATAAAAGTGAGAATGATGAATGATGTAATTTACCCATAAAAAAATACCACGTGCAACAGTTCCGTTAAGTTTTATTAGGGAATCTCCCTCGTAAACACAAAGTTTCAGTGACCTGCATGAACTTGAACAACAAGATACTAGCAACCCAAAGGTAATTCCAGTTGGCTGCAAGTGAATCCGATACCCTCATCGCCTCAACTTCTTGCCAAGAAACGTACATATAGTGTGACTGTGTGCATGCAGAAGCAAAAAACAACATTATATATATGTAGTAGCCATTAATGAGAGGGTAGTTCAAGCTAGAAGGGCTTGGAACAATCTAGCAAAGCAGGGCCAGATTCGTGTGGATGAGGTGAGAAGATTTTGTTGCTGCCAGCTCTAAGCTTATGGTGCAATGGCCGCCGACTTTTGACTTAAAAAGGGGTGTGGGGGCACGTGAATCCAAGGCATCTCCACTATTTTTTTAACCTATGAAAGCGTAATTACTGAAGCAAAAGGATCACGTTCTTCAATATCTTATCTTTAATGCCTAGAGAAATGGAGAAACAATGCCGATGTCCACGACATTCAAAGGAGATGATATCGTTTTGTGATGTGATCAATCGTGCGATGACTCCAGTTATTACACGATTGGTCTCGTCGATTAACTATGTTTTCCTCTACACAAGGTTGATTTCGATCATGTTAATTGCAGGAGAAACCCAAAGAAATCCGAGTTGACAATGAATGTGCATTTAATGGGTGACTGATTTTCAAGCATATCTTTGCAGATAAGATCCGCATTTAGACCTGCATATCTATGCCTTTGCTGCTATTTCTCTCTACTTCAAATGAGGTTCAAGACAATACTTGAAAGTTCTTTTCCTTGCCGTTGAATGTGCATATTGCATAACTATTGTTTACAAGATTTCATGTTAAGAGTGGAGATTTAAAAATTTATATTAAAAAAGAAGTACGAAATTATAAAAGTTCGAAGACTTAAATGTTATATTATTAAGAAAAATATAAACAAATACTTAAATTGTACGTAAATTTGAAATTTCCACGAATACACCGCGCCCCAAACATTTGGTGACATGAATTTCACTATCATATTATTAAATTAGTGACAGGAAAGCTTCATGTACTAAAGCATTATCTAAAGATTTATCTTATATTTCTGCCATTTGTTTTCTAGGAAAACCTTGTAGTTCATCCATTCCACATCTTTTTAGTTGCTGCTCTAAGCCTTAGTGTCTCTAAATGATAAAATTATGAGTTTAGCCCCTTTATCATTTAAAGTTTTAAGATAAAGCAACGGTAAACTTGAACTTTGGCCTCCCTAAATGATAAATTTTAATTTAGATGTTTTGCAAATTATAAAATTATAGGTTAAAAAAGTGATAAATTCATATTTTATCCCTTCAAGAAATTATAATTTCCTTATAACCCCCAAAATTTTCTTGATGCGCACCCTTTCACCACATGTTTAAAAGAATATGTCGCACCAAATAATTTGAAGAATTAATGTGAAATACTTGATTTCGTAATTGAAAATATTTATTCCTAAAAGATAGAAGACTGAAAATTATCAAAGTAAAATGGAGGGACTAAATCTTATCCAGAACGCATAGTATAGGGACCTTTTATACAGTTTGACCAAACTAAAAATGAAAAAGAAAGTAAAATTAAACGGCGGCGTTTAAAGGATTTTCATAGTACACAGTCTTCTTGGAGTCCTGGCTTGTCTCCCAAGTTCTTTCGGTCAAAAACACTCTTGATTAATAGGGCTCGAATCGAATGTCAGAGCCATAGGCTTACAGTTGAGGATCCTGCAACTGTTGAATATATAACACGATGCATTGCTGGTCTGCAACAGAAGTATACGCAAAGTGGCGGTGTTAAACCGTTCGGTCTTTCGACATTGATTGTCGGGTTTGATCCTTATACCGGCGTACCTTCTCTTTACCAGACCGATCCATCTGGAACATTTTCAGCTTGGAAGGCTAATGCAACCGGAAGAAATTCTAACTCGATGAGGGAGTTTCTTGAGAAAAATTATAAAGAAACTTCTGGACAAGAAACGGTGAAGTTAGCAATTCGTGCTTTGCTCGAAGTAAGTTTTGCTTTTCACATGTGCATGCTATGGTTGGACTTGGTGGTTTTAGATATACAATACAAATTTGACAACTTGAACTATTTTCTAAGTTGGATTTGCCTTCTCGAATCCATGGTGTGTGCTACATGCTTTTGTATGTACATATATGAAATGCTCTTCTAAGGCTGAAGGGCCTCCGCGTTTAGTAAGTGTTCATTAGATATACAGTAAAAAGCATTACATTGTAAAGTTGAACTGAGCTGGAATCTAGACCATAGACTGTTATCAGGATTCATCAAGACGATGTGGTTTGGTTTCAAATGCAGTTCTGCCTGTGTAGTTGGTTATTTATGTTCGATTGCCCATGCATTGGAACAAATTTGTCCAGTGGCAATGGTGAATTTATAATGGTTGATCATGCTTGCATGAAACTTGGGGCCAGATAAATTGTTTGGCATGTTTCGTTAATGCATTAATTTTGTTGTTTTTATTTGTCCGCGAATGAGAACATCCATGATTCTATTTTACCTGTTTCTTTATGCTTTTGTTCTCTTTCTAACAATTAGGTTGTTGAGAGTGGGGGAAAGAACATAGAAGTAGCTGTGATGACAAACGAGCATGGACTGCGACAACTAGAAGAAGCTGAAATCGATGCCATTGTTGCTGAGATTGAAGCAGAGAAAGCAGCTGCAGAGGCTGCGAAAAAGACCCCGGCCGACCCGAAAGAAACCTAGTTCAGTATCTCATATCCCCATTGCCCAGCCCAGTTTCCCTTGAAATGTGATTCTCTTGTGTTGATTGGTTGGACATGTTGGGTTTTAGTAAGTTTCAGAACTTTTTATTTCCAGCAGCATGCTTTTGCCGATGGTACTTGATTGTTGTTGCAAGACGAATATTTTCTTCCCACCGTAATTTTGTTCAAAATACAAGCAGATATATTATGGATTGAAGTGCTCAAGGGCATCATCCATGTTTTTTGTTATTTACTTAAAATTGAAAGACCTTTAATATTGTCATCCATTTTACGGCCGATACAGCTAAAATACGACACGATGTCATGTTCGAGAAAATGAACTACATAACCAGCCAGTTTTGATAGTACCAATTTCTTATAATAGATGATATTCTATTCTAGAAAGACCGTATTATTAGTTTTCACTTCATTTTCTTGCGGACCTCGTAAAGGTAGCTTAGGATCACCACCGCAGCGGCAACGGCAACCCCAACAGCACTCTGTGCCAATACGGTGCTGTCTTTTACGATTGACTTGGAGCGAACAGAACTAGGAGTAAAACCAAGTTCCGAAAGTTTCTTGTGAGATTCTGCATAGTCTCGGAAGAATGCATCCTCGTCCTGCCAAAATGCCAAAAAATGGGAGGGAATATGTTAAAAGGGTTGGCCAGATTCCAACACTTTCAATCGATCAGCCATGTACCAGCCTAAACCTTTCTGAATGCTAAGGCAGTTACAGTACAAAATTAGCAACATCCTCGAGATCTCTCTCGATGTAGGTTTACCTTGGCATAGAGTTCTACATACTTGCGGAATTCAGGGTCCTCTAACAAAGCCTTGTCTGTTGGAAGTTTCAGAAGCCCTTCTGATTCCCCTTTTAGCAGCTCCCTGGTAAAATAATAGTAAATGGTTTCATACAAATTTAGGGTAAGAAGGAAATTTGATACCTTGCAAATCACAGATTTAATCTTACACGAAGTAGGAGTTATCAAACTTCAGAGGTTCATTGGTCCAAGGGCCATCAAAACCTGATCTCTCTGGATGAGCCCTTCCCTGCAACACCAAAGCCATCCAAAAGGTTTGATATTGAACATATAAACAAAAAAACCAGGCATCGAGAAAAACAGACTAAGAATTATCAGGAAAATGTACCAGAGTATGACCCCCAGATAATGCCACAATATCCTTGTCAGATAGACCCATTCGATAGAAGATGTCCCTCAGATGCGGTGCACCTAACACCGTGATTCAGAAGGGAGAAAAAGAGATGCAAAATTTAGAGCACACAAGTTCAGACTATAGAAACATAAGTTTAGCAAGCATTTAAACAAGCTGATAAGATATGGAGCATTGTATACAAAAGTTTCCACTGCTACCTTGTTAGGTGCAACAGAGGACTACGTGATTACTCCTAAACTCATTACCAAGGGAAAAAACCAACTTTGTTGGAGGATGTCCAAGTAGTTTCTAAAAACAACAGCACAATTGGCCAATGAAAAAACTGCATTGATACAAGTGCCACACCAATCTCTCCATGTATATTGCTCAAATGTCACTATTGTTAACCAATCTAATTTTTGTCACCTGAATGGTACAAAAAGACTCCCGACTCCTGAGAATATTTTGCTGCTGATAGAAAGACTTCTAGTAACTGTGGTCCCAGTACTCCAATTCTTGGCTAGCCTCTAGACATACAAATATGACAGAAAAACCATACTACTAAACTGAGGGTTCTTTTTTATTAGTGGAATCTAAAACAACCAGCAGTGAACTTCTCGTTAAAGTAACCTACACTCAATAAATAAGCATTCTTTGAAAGAATTTTTATTTTGATAAACAGGCAGCAAAAAATGCTTAGAATTCATGACTTGTTCTATTAAACAGGGTACTGACGACACAACAGTCAAAACTCATAATTTATTCTATGAAGCTGATATTTAGTTCATTGGAACTGCAGGAAACACAGAATGCAAGAAACCACATAAATACTAGCCAATAGTACCCAGATTCCAAATTCTTTGAGTACCATTTCTTCCATCCAGTTGGAAGAAACCAATGACAAACAATGCAAAAAGAAGCAAAAGATACGACTAGATTTACTAGATAGACAATCAAATTATCAAAATGTACAAATATTCAAAGCGCTCAAATACCCAGAAATCAGAGTTTACAATTCCTAATACGTGGGGGGGAAATCATTTTTTTTTGTTCCCTAAATGGCTTCAGAAATTTATTTTACCTCTTTTAGCATCTGGAAGTCGCCCTTCCCTGGGGCAGATGTTTGAATCCTACTTGAACAGAACATGGTTAATCAAATAAGTTAAAGAGGAAACAAGCTACATTTGCAAGTTAAGCTCCCTACACATACCTTTCTTCCTGGTACAAAGTCAATAGTCGGACCTCCAGTGACTTCAACAGCAACAACACCAGCAAGCTGAAATTGAAAACGATACAGTAATGAGTAATTCATCATCCAACACATACTCAACAACTTAAATTGAATCCAAGTGCAGCCATTTGTGTGGTGCAACATATGATGACACATACATGAAGAAAGGGAGCATTACCACTGTAAGTATAGCAAAAATTCTCAAACTCTATGAAACTGAGACCTCTCAGTCTCAAGTAATTATTCATGCAGTTCATATTTCAATCACCTAAACTACTATTTTAGTAATCACAAATTTAACTTAATTTACAACCTCTTTTTTGTCATTTAACGAAATCCTACAGCGACTAAGCTACTTCTTTCTTGTTAAGTACCAGCTATCCCCTCAAAATCTAACTCATGATGATCTTAAAAAATTCTAGACCTACCTAAATATTAGTTTCATGCCATACTGTATTTAGTTGACATACTACTACATTACAGAGATAATCTAGTTAATTAAATAAAAAATATGGCTTCCCCTGAAGAACCTAAACTGCAGAACTTTGCCTCAATATTCAGCAAGGATTTTAGATAAAAAAAATTTGGAACTAATCAGTGTGTTAATGTTTCTTTATTTCCCCAATGTGTTCAGAGCAGAACAGAAGCATGCAATGATATCCTTTAAAAGGAAAAAAATTAGACATTAACACACTGATTAGTTCCGAATGATGCAATTAAATTTGGAATAAAATGCATGATCTCTTTCAACTTCAACTAATCAGTGTGTTAATGTTTCTTATTTCCCCAATGTGCTCATAGCAGAAAAGAAACAGAGGAAGCATGCAATGATATCCTTTAAAAGGAAAAAAAAATTAGACATTGACACACTGATTAGTTCCGAATGATGCAATTAAATCAGGAATTAAATGCATGCTCTTTTTCAACTTCATAATTACCTGGAATAGATCTGCATATGTGATCTTAGGATGTTTAGCCTTCACTTCCTCTGAAATGTGTCAAAGAGAATATTCTTAAGTAGGAATAAACAAATAAGTGCAAACATATTTTAGTTTTGAGATGTATATTCTAATATAAACTACCATACTATAAATATGAAGATATACTACGAGCTAAGCATGAAAATATAAAAAATGTAGCATATATATAGAAAGTGTCAAACATTTTTACAAATTCAGCTCAGATGGTAGCTGGTAAAATTGAAACCAACAAATTACGAATATTGCCATCTTTCTAGCACTAACTTTCAAGGGATGACACAATTGAAAATCAGACGATAGAAGTTCTCACCTTAAAAGTTAAAAGAAACAGTTCTTCCAAAAGAGGCAACAAACAAAGTACCAACCACCCAAATGACTCAAACCTAATGGAGCCACACAAGTTCAACCTTATGTAACGAGATCAAAAGAAGACCACTCCAATCACCTTTTAGTTTATATCATTCCAATTTTCATTAGGATCATACAAACTACATAACCCTGAGCTAAAATTTTACTAAGAAATTTCAGAAGATCTGACATACTCCTTTCTAATAATCAAGTCGTGCTGGCATGTGAAGTTTTGATGTAAACGGTTCTGTTAAAACCTATGTTAACACCACTCCTTAGCATAATTGGCAATCGGCAGTCCTGCTTCCATCTTATAAAGATTTCTAACCCTTAGAAAAGGAAAATACAAACCCTCTCTAGTGAGTGCAAAGTAACAATCATTTCAGCATTCCAGATTCTGAAATCTATATACCAACAAGAATGGACTTGAAGTCACAGCAGAGTTATTTATCTCATTCCTTCAAAATTAGAATCATTATCATATCTGGAACAGTGGAAGCTAAAAGCTCAAAAATTCATTTTAAATGTGAGGTAATACACAAATGGAAAATGTATTTAAACTACGATACTGTGGATATGATATAAATCCCTAAATATAATGTTGAAGTAAGTCGATCCATATTTTCCAATCTTGAAATGCTCGCAAGACTACATCCTTAGTTAACTAATAGCAGCTATGAGTCGAACTATTGCATTGGATGTTAATTACCGATTAAAAAATTAATCCATAAACATTCACGAACATAACGGTTATATATACCTAGATAAAAGAACTAAGAAATTAAAAAAGAAAAAACAGTGTTAGAATCAAACCACAAAATTCAAGAGCAATCTTCAAGCCGTTATTAGCGCCGTGTGTGAGCTCTTCTTCATTCCTTATGGATCCATTTGGACCACCGGTCTTAGTGCTCACATCGTACGTCCCTGCGTCGTGCCACCTAAAAAAACAATCAATTCAAAATGAGAATTTCATCAATACAAAGCTAAAATTAGAAAAATAGTAATAATATTACTTCGTATCTGTTTTCAGGTTGATCTGTTATTTATTAATTAGTAGCACCTAATTTCATTTTTCATCTTGTTAGATTTTTTTGAATCCTTCATAGAACAAACAACGGAGAAGAATAAGAAGATAAAGAAATACACTAAGCGAAGCATGATATTTCTTGAGAATTCATCAACAAAAAAGGCTAAAATTAAAAAGATGAAACTAATAATAACATTCCTTTGCCTCTATTTTCAGGTTTATCTGTGAAATTTCTTGATTATTAAAACTATAATTTCATTTTTTTCTTTTTATAGTTCTTGAT